AAGTATCTTCAGAGCATCAATATCAATTCCAACATGTCAGCCCCTGCCATAACAGTTTTTAAGGCTAATGTCACCTGATCGAAATTTGCTAAACCATCGTTGACACTTACGAACGCTCAAAACATCTCCATAAACGTCTTTGATATTCTTTGTGGCCACAGAGGCATTGTTTCCCTTCTTGTATTCAAACAGCATTACATGCCGAATGTATGTCTCGTCGTATGTCATCACTATAAGGTATTACACTATACTAAGCTTTACACATTATATAGGCTACACTAACGTGACGTTTAGGCGATTCGTTTAACTATTTTACGTGATGTACGTTTTTTTAGAGTTGGTTAATGAAAATGTTCCAAAACGCGACATTAATTTCTTGACGACCTAATATATCAACTTTACTGAAATATGTGTATTTCATTTTAATTATCTTTTCACAAAGTAATCCGAGTCTTTTTTTTTCCATCAAGCGTATTGTTACGTCTCCGTTCGTTCGTTAATTTTCCGTAAAAATTCTTTCCGAAGAAACTTTACCGATAGAAGTCCTTTCTTAAATAAAACTGGTTTATTCTTTCTGAATATAACTTTGCGATACACTTAATTTCAACAGTCGCGCTATAACAAACGCTATAATTCTCAACGAACGTCTCACGTGCTCGACTCAACAACACTCAGTTCAATTACACACATTGTTGCCGTCACTTTGTGACCGTCTTATATATATACAAGACTAACACATATCTAGTAAACGCTAGAGCATTCATGAAGGAACAGGATATTTCTAAAGTCAATGACGTGTTACTAGCGTCACGTGACCCCGATGTCGTAACAATATGATTCATTTTTCATCTTAAACTTTAGTTAGTTTGGTCCGACCGCTATAGCATAGTAGCAGAAAGTTTGCAAAAAATTAAATAAAAACGTGAAGTTTACCCTTTAATTGTGCACTGTTACTTTCTTAAATATTGCGCTGATCAGGTATAATTTTTTGTCTTGATTAACTTAAGTCTTATCATTAATAAGTTATTTGTTTCAGTAGTTGATTAGCCGTCTTTAAGGAGGATCTTAGAACTGTTTATGTAGTTGTACGTCACAGATGGGTGCTATGTGAATAGATAGTGTATATTATAAAAGCAAACGGAGCTGGGTTCGTCCTGGTGGCCTTAAACACCGATTGACTAATTTATAAATCTCCCACACACACTTTGGTATAATATTTGATCTATTTTCCCACGTAAAACAGACTTATCACGTAATTTAGTCCTGTAAGCACGGAACCTTATATAGTGGTCATACTAGTCAGCAATTCAATCAAGGATATGTTTCCAGATTTACCAATGTTCTGTCGAAACATGTAGTTTATTTCACCTTAAATAATTCGTTTAATTATTATTATAAATCGTTGTTTTGCTACTTATAATTATCATCATGCGCTTCCTTACTCGGCATTGTTAGCACTTTACACATCTTTACCAGGGCATTAAAAAGGCTCTATAAAAATACATCACTGTAGTGTTTCCATCCCTCTATTAACAAAACGTACAAGTAATTCTTAAAGAAAATGTTTCTCAGTTTATTAACACAATGTTTTATTGTTGATTTATGTTGGTGATGCTTTGGCTTTCATTTTTGGTTTAGCGATGTTTATGGTTTCTTCTCAAGTCATATATAGATATAAATAAAATAAAAACATTAAGGCTACATTAATCATTTGGCATATTAAATCCTCAGGTGTATGAATATGGTATTCCCTTGAACTCACTATTGGTCAGCAAGTGTATGGTCAATGCTAATTGCTCACATACATCTTCCACTTGTTTTTTGCTGGAAGTAAACTTGTATGCTGATGAGGTCTATTAAGATAATCCAGTACTCACCCAAGTTGTAGCAGTTATGCTGGCACTGGAAATTGTTATTAAAGTGGGGATAAACATTATAAAAAATTCAATTTTGAATACTTTTAGACCACATGGTGATGTTTCAGATCCAACCAAACTGGTAAGTTTGCCATTTCAATGAATCATTGCACAGATATTCAGGGCTCAGAGCATTATAGTTTTACTTCAAGAAGATAATAAAGTTTACTTTCATCAAGTGTCTAAAAGTTATAATATCAGCTTCCAAGTTACTTGTAATATTTTTTTATTAACAGTCATAGAATTCAGGCGTAAGTATTGTCCGATGTCTTCTAGTTGCTTGTAGTGATACCTTCTGAAATACCATAACATTTCATTTGAAATGTAACAATTTTCATCTCATCAAAACTTAAGAACAGTTTTTACTTCAGAGAAACAGTTTCCTCCTCCAGAATCCCACAAATCTATGGTATTCTTAATGCTCTTAAAGAATGGCCTGTATATATTTTGTTTACAATTGTTCATCGACATTATTTAACATATATACTATAATTTTAGGTTTCTGGTTTTGGTGTGATCCTCCAACCCCAATGAATCTATTGCCTAAGTGTATTAGTAAAGATGAAAGTTCCTTGGATCTTCGTGATGTTCACCTACACGACTTATTTTTTTGTACTTCCCTTAACAAAATGTTGCGATTCATAGTAAACCTTTACTTTAACAGGCCTATCTGTGTCTTACTTCATCATGTTTAGATTGAAATGAACTTCATTTTTATCATCTACTTTAATTTCTAATTTCTTGAATTTAGTGAAAGCTTTGTTTTATGAATGTCTACATCTATGAAACAAGTTTCGAGGCCAGGAAATGGATATAAAGCAAAGCATGAAAGAGTTGGTTTTATTGAAAGTAAAATTTAAAAAAATGTTTAATTGATTTTGCTGCCTACCTTGCATATCAACTAAAGTTGATAGCATATATACAACGTGTATATAAGTTGTTTTAATTGTGAGGAGCTTAGCCTGTGAAACCTACAAGGGAGACCACATGTCCAATTAAAAATACAAATACATCAACCTTTACGTGTTTATGCTTGCTTTCAAATAAATAATCATGTGATAAATGTTAATTCAAGTTCACATTTAACCATATAAACAAGATAACTCAAAAGAAATAATAAAAGAGGCAGTTTTTATTAAAAATGTGAATATTTAAGCAGTGACAAAAAAAAAAAAAACTTCTGTGACTTAAACTTGCAATGGTCTATCCTTTTGTACTGGAGATCATTCACATAATGGTACAGTAATCTTACAACTTCTATGTAAAACGTATTATAATGCACCATAAATACTGGTGTTTAAATATAATTTCTTCATTATAGCGTTTTATACTCTATTCTATTACACACCTTTATAAACATTTGTGACGAAAGCATAACAACGACTAAAAGTAGAGTTAGGATGTAAGATGAGTTATCATCGCTATAATTATTTATATCACAGAAATTCACAATTATTTTCAAAAGAATAAAAATTATACAAACTAAAAATGTGAGCTATGTGTAAAAATAAGATAAAGTGCATTATGAAATATATTATCATATTTGGAGTTATTCTAAGCAAGTAGCTTCTATGTGAAAGACATATGAAAGCATAACAACGACTAAAAGTAGAGTTAGGATGTAAGATGAGTTATCATCGCTATAATTATTTATATCACAGAAATTCACAATTATTTTCAAAAGAATAAAAATTATACAAACTAAAAATGTGAGCTATGTGTAAAAATAAGATAAAGTGCATTATGAAATATATTATCATATTTGGAGTTATTCTAAGCAAGTAGCTTCTATGTGAAAGACATGAATCAACACAAGCGTTAGAACCAAAGATAGCATTAGAAAGAACTCCTATGCTTGAATGGAATATATTTCCTCCTCTTGAAATTAAAATTAATTACATTATACATAAAATATTTTCTACATTAAAATTTTTCTTACAAAGTAAAATACTGTATGTAGAGACTTACAAAAGACTGAGCTTAACATTATTTTGTAACACAGCTAAATCCCTACCTCATTAATAGTCAGTTCTTCAAATTGTAATGACAAAACTGTAATTAAATGTTTAAAGTTTACAGTGACGTCTACAATGTGTTTTTTTTGGGGGGGGAGAAAATAATTTGCTTTTTGATTCAAGAAGTTATTTCTTTGAAAATTAAGTAATGAGGCTGAATATTTAACTTTGTAATAAGATTTTTTTTGTACGCAATACGTGGAACATTATTCAAATTCACACATCAAACTATGTAAAACTACAAGTACTTAAGCTTACATGAAGGTTCAATCCATTGATACAGATTTCAGTCCTGAAAAGACATTTCATTAAATCATTAGATTTAAATTTCTATACTTAAATACTTCTTTTGATCAACGTTTAAATTCCATACCTATTTAATTACTATTTCTCACTGGCCTTGTTAGTATACAATATTCATTACTAACATACTTTTTAATACACAGAATGCTTAAAATAATAATTAATTAAATTGTGAATGTATTGATTATGAACACACACATAAGCAGAAACAAGTGTTTAAAATATATTTTACTACAAGATGAAATTTTCTGGCTATATTGAAAACTCCATTAATTTGAAATTCTAATACATGATAAAATTAATATTAGGTCACAAAGTAATGAAGATAAGGATGAAATTAGCATAAAGTTATTTGTGTAATTGTGAAAACCAGGAAAAAAAAAGAATGACACATATAGACGAAACAAAATTTGAAATATTTTAACTGAGAAACTTTTTTTTTTTAATCAGGTATCAAGACCTGTATCCAATCCCAAAAACTGCTTCATCAGTTCATAGGTGGCAAAGGAGACAGCCACCATGGGTATAGCACGCAGGTAGTTAATACTCATGCCACGATACAGTCCTTTTGCAATCCCATCCTCTTTAAAAACAAGGTATAATGTTGAGAAACACCCTTTCCTGCAAGAAAAAATACAAATCAAACACTTAACAAATGAAAAGCTTTAAGCCCAAAAGTCAAAGGAAAATCTTATTGCTTCTATGAAAGGCTTTAATATAAGGCCTAGGAATAGAACTTATTTAACCTGTATTTTGTTTTTTAGTATTCTTGAAAAAAAAAAGTTACAATATCTTGTTTGTTTGAAGTTAAGCAGAAAGCTACAGAATGGGCTATCTGTGCTCTGCCCACCATGGGTATCAAAACTCAGTTTCTAGCATTGTAAGTCTGCAGACATACTGCTGTGTCATTGGGGCATTACAATATTCTTTGCAATATAGGAATGATTGGAAAACCAATTAATTAAGCATAAATACTATTCCCTATTTATCAGTACTTCAGGTCATTTAAAACAACATAGCTGATTGGAAGTTTAGTTTTATTTAAATTATTATAACTATACTATTGGAATATACTTTGATATTTTAATGGTTCAAGTTGCCAAATGCTGCTGATATTTTTTTTGCAACTTTTTGGTAAGAAAATGACCCAATTGCAACTTTTTTATCATCATTATCTGACACTAATGATTTACCTTACGTAATTTATCTTCATAATATATAACACTGTCTTTCCCAATCATAATTTACATTTGTTAATGGTTAAAATGAATAAAAACATCTTTGTTAGCCAGAATACAGACTCCCAGAGGTATTCGATAAACAGCTGTGAGGAATAATGTAGGTCAAAAATAATGTTAATTTTTTAATGCATTTCAAATACATTTGTTCATAACATTTTTAGTCATATATATATAATTCTTTATTTCTAACTTTTTACTTTCCTCATAATTATACTTCAAACACAAGTCTTAATGTCTTGACTGCTGGTTGAAATAACAGCTCATAAGACCCTAATAAAATCCTGATGAAGAAAGTATTGGAAAACAAACATTATTCATAAAACCTCACCTAAATTTGTAGGTCTCTGGGCGCAACATGCTGAGCTGCATTCTCCGTCGGGCAACATCCAAAGGATAGCTGGAATCAATTACCAAAACATTTTATGGTTAACCTAAGTTGAAAAGGTTTAGCTGTAAATATTGAGATCTTTAAATATAGTTCCAATATCTTGTGAGAAATATTGGGTGGCCTTTCGTTTTTGAGAAATGTATTGCTTATTTAAATCATTAATTGGCTAAATTCTGTGTATGTGTGTTCACTTATAACTGGCAAACTGCTGGACCAATCATGACCCAATCCAGTACGTACCCTCTATGTATGACAGAGGATCAGCATTCGTATCTGACTACGTATGCCACCCTAAGTACCCTATATATTCTCTTGTGCATTGAGCAGTTACATCAGCTAGTACTTATATAAAAAAGGAATAAATGAAATATTAAATTTCTAAGTTATATGGAAATTTCAAAGTGTAGTCTTGTCACACTGCATGTAGAAATGGAAAGGATATAGAAACATGTGTATCTTACGCAAACCTCAAATGTTAATTTGCTTTTAACCTTGCAACAGTAAATAAATATAGATGATAAAGAAATACAAAATGTTACATATCACGCAAGTTCATAATATAATGTAGTTAAATCGTGGGAAAACATTATTGGCCCAACATGTTATCTTTATAACTATTTGAAAAGAAATCACTTAAATTCAGAGGTTCCAATTTTAAAAAAATGGCAATAAGTGGACCTTGAAGTTTACAAGCCACCTGACAGCTCAAGTACCCCACATAATTTCATTCTTAATAACCAATAATGTGAAAATTGGGAGTTGAGATGTGATAGTTGTTAAAGCATCTGCCTGGCAAACAGTAATAGATTTCACTACTCCAAAAAATTTCCAAGTGGCAAAATAATAAGTGTTATAAGTCAAATTAATAATATTGCTTTTTTGTTTTCATCTGATTGATTTATTGTTAATCACAAAGCTACACCAATGGCTATCTGTGCTCTGCCCACCATAAGTATCGAAACCAGATTTTTAATTAACATTATAAGCCTACAGACTTGCTGCTGAACCATCAGGGGCATAAAACTATGAAAAATATAAATGGCAAGGTAATACATAGTTACATAATATAGACTTTACACAGTCAGTCATTCTAATAGGTGGACTGGATAACAAGAGCAATATCATTTATTGTTTTAC